TGGTTCTGCTCACTTTGCTTTGTATCAGTTCATGTTTTTTTGGTTTTCATCAGGTTTTCAGGTTTTCCCATGTTTTTCTGAAACCATTTCCTTCATCATTTCTTACAGTACGATAGCAATCCATCACAGTCATATGCCATAACTTATTTATCCATTTCCCAATTGATGAGCATCTCCTCAATTTCCATTTCTTTGCTACCACAAAAAGAGGTACTGATACATATTTTTGTACATAGATCCTTTTCCTTCGATCTCTTTGGGATACAGATCTAGTAGGGGTATTAATGGGCTAAATGGTATGTATAGTTTCCAGAATGGTTGGACCAGTTCACTCCTACCAACTCCTACCAACAGTGTTTTAGTGTCCCAATTTTTCTACATCCCCTCCAACATTTGTCATTTTTCTTTTCTGTCATATTAGCCAATCCTATAGGTGTGAGGTGGTACCTCAGAGTTGTTTTCATTTGTCTTTCTCTAATCAGTAGTGATTTAGAGCACTTTTTCACATGACTGTAAAGAGCTTTGATTTCTTCTTCTGAAAACTGCCTGTTCATATCCTTCAACCATTTATCAATTGCATCTTATTTTTATACATTTAACTTAATTCCCTATATATTTGAGAAATATAAAAATTTTTATGTTATTTCATTGTCTGTTGTACCTTTTAGCAAAATGTAGTTTCCCTGATTTTCTCTTTTAATTGTTTATTTCTGCTATTGCTTTGTTTGAGATCATGATAGCTACCCCCTGCCTTTTTTACTTAAGCTGAAGCATAGTAGATTCTGTTCCAGCCCCTTATTTTAACTCTGTGTATGCCTTTCCACTTCAGGTGTCTCTTATAAACAACATACTGTTGGATTCTAGTTTCTAATACATTCTGCTCGCTGAGCTCATCCCATTCACATTCATAGTTATGATTACTGTGTATTTCCCTCCATTCAATTTTCTTCTGTTTATTCTTCTCTCTTTTTATCCTCCTCAAAAGTCTGTTTTGCTTCTGACCACTGCCTCCTTTAATCTACCCTCCCTTTTGTCATCCTACATCCCACCCCACCCCGCTTCTCATCTCTTATTCTCTTCCCCTTCTATTTTCTTTTGGGGTAGGAGATTTCTCTACCCAGCTGAATGAGTATGTATACATATGTGTGTATGTGTATATGTATGTATGTATGTATATATTCTTCCCTCTTTGAACCAATTCCAAAATGTGTGAAGTTCAAGCATTGCCCACCACTCCCCTATTTTCTCCTCCACTTTAAAAGCTCTTCCTTATGTGCTTCCTTCGTGCAAGAAAATTTTCCCCCTTCTGTCTCTCTCATTGCCCTTCTCCCAATGGATCCCTCTTTCTCATCCTTTTTTTTTTAGCTCATCCCAACATAATCAACTCATATTCATGCCCTCTATCTATGTAGACTCTTTCTAACTGCTCTAATCATGATGAAGTTTGTAGGAGTTACACGTATCTATCATCTTCCTATATGAGAGTACAAACAATTTAACCTTATCACATCCCATAAGTTTTCTATTTCATGTTTAGCATTTTATGCCTCTCTTGCAGCCTGTGTTTGAATGTCAGATTTTTCTGTTCGGTTCTGGTCTTTTCATCAGGAATCCTTGAAAGTCCTCTGTTTCATTAAATTTCCATTTTTTGCTCTGAAGGATTATGCTCAGTTTTGCTGGGGAGGTGATTCTTTGTTGTAATCCTAGCTTCTTTGCCATCTAGACTGTGATATTCCAAGCACTGTACTCCTTTAACACGGAAGCTGCTAAATCTTGTGTTATTGTGACTGTGGCTTCACAATATTTTAATTGTTTCTTTCTGGCAGCTTATAGTATTTTCTCCTTGGCCTGGGAGCTCTGGAATGTGGTTGTAATATTCCTGGGAGTTTTCATTTTGGGTTCTCTTTCAGGAAATGATTTGTAGATTCTTTCAATTTCTATTTTACCTTCTGGATCTAAGATATCAGGGTAGTTTTCTTTTATAATTTCTTGAAATATGGTGTTAAGGGTTTTTTTAATTATTATTATGGCTTTCAGGTAGTCCAATAATTCCTTTTTTTCCTAATAATTCTTAAATTATCTCTCTTTGATCTGTTTTCCGGGTCATTTGTTTTTCTAATGAAATATTTCCCATTCTCTTCTATTTTTTTCATTCTTTTAACTTTGTTTTATTGTTTCTTGATGTCTCGTGGAGTCGTTAGCTTCCACTTGCCCAAATCTAAATTTTAAGGAATTATTTTCCTCAGTGAGCTTTTGTACCATTTATTCTGTTTGGCCAGTTTTGCTATTTAAGGAGTTCTTTTCTTCAGTTAATTGTTGTACTTCCTTTTCCACTTAGCCTACTCTGCATTTTAAAGAGTTCTCTTTTTGTGGTAAATTTTTGTACCTCTTTGAGCATTTGGCCAACTCTGGTCTTTATTATTTTCTTTAGTATTTTATGTGCCTCTTTTACCAAACTGTTAATTCTCTTTTCATAATTTTCTTTAATCACTCTCATTTACTCTCCCAATTTTTATTCCACCACTCATTTTTTCTTTAATTCTTCCAGGAATTCTTGTTGGGCCTGTGTCTGGATAGCATTTTTCTTTGAGACTTTGGTTATAGCTGTTTTTACATTATTGTCATCTTCTGAGTTTATGTCTTGGTCTTTCCTGCCACTATAGTAGCTTTTTATGGTCAGACTCTTTTTTGTTGTTGTTATTTTCTTATTTTTCTAGCCTATTTCTTGGCTTTGAACTTTATGTTAAAGTTGTGCTCTGCTTAACCTGGGGTGGGTAAGCACTGTCCCAAGCTTCAGTCTTTTTGTGCACTGCTGTCTTGGGGTCTGCAAGTTTTCAGTGCTTCCAAGGTGATGTAATCTGGGGAGAGGTATGATCATTGCTCTCCTGGTCTGCACTTAGGTCTTTTTTTTTAAATTTTTTTAAAATAAATTTATTTATTTATTTTTAGTTTTCAGCATTCACTTCCATAAGATCTTGAGTTCCAAATTTTATCCCTGTCTCTCCCATGCCCCCACCCCAAGAGATCATGTGAATTGATATAGGCTCAACATACATATTCATATTAAGTCTATTTTCACATTAGTCATGTTGTAATTAGAACCAATGGGAGAAACCACGAGAAAGAAGAAACAGAAAAAAGAGAGAGCAAATAACATTCTTTGATCTGCATTCAGACTTCCTAGTTCTTTTTCTAGAGGTAGAAAGCAGTTTCCATCATGAATCTTTTGGAGCTGTCTTAGATCATTGTATTGCTTAGAAGAGCTAAGTCTGTCAAAGCTGGTCATTGCACAATGTTGTTGTCACTGTGTACAGTGTTCTGGTTCTGCTTACTTCACTCAGCATTAGTCCATACAAGTCTTTCCAGGTTTTTCTGAAGTCCACTTGCTCATCATTTCTTATAGCACAATAATATTCCATCACATTCATATACCACAACTTGTTCAGCCATTCCCAGACTGATGGATATCACCTCCATTTCCAGTTCTTTGCCACTACATCCCAGTGTTTTTGTTTTGTTTTGTTTTTAAGGCAGTTGGGGTTAAGTGACTTGCCCAGGGTCACACAGCTAGTAAGTGTTGAGTATTTGTTCTAAGACTGGATTTGAACTCAGGTCCTCCTGACTTTGGGGCCGGTGCTCTGTCCACTGCATCACCTAGCTGCCCCTGTCCCCTGTCTATCATCATCCAAACCATGTTCTCCTTGCCCCATTGCCCACTTTCTCATTTCTGTCAGCCTCAATCCAATGCCACCAATGTCCTACTCTCAAGCTACTCACCACCTCTCCATTTGGCTCTCTGGGTGCACTCAGGTCTTCACCCAGGAAGGGCCCCTGCTCCCTTGCAGCCTCAAGCACTAGTGCTCTTCTCTACCTTGGAACTGTAACCCAGAACTGCATATGGACAATAGAGTTGCCAGTCAGTGTCAGTTACACCCAGTGCCAGCAAAGGGTCCGCTGTAATCTCTTTCTGACCAATTGTCTAACCCCCTTACTGTCTCTTTGGCTGAGACCTCTTGAAGCTGCTGTTGCTACTGCCCCTGTTGCAGCCACCTCCAAGGCCCACCACTGGTGCTACTGTTGCTCCCACTCTAGTGTCACAGACTTCTTCTGAAGACCTCCTAAGTTGTGTTAGGCTAGAAAAATGTCTCACTCTGACCATTTGTTGGCTCTGCTGCTCCAAATTTTTATTTGAAGCATTATTTTAAAGTTGTTTGGAGGGGAATGTTGAGAGAATTTAATTGGGTTGCTGCCTCTAATCTACCATCTTGACTCTGCCAGCTCAATAGTCTTTGATAACCCCAGGTCACCACCACACAGTGATGAGGCTCTGGAGTAAGGACTTTGATAAAGGACCTTTTTCAAACATGCTTATTGTCTTGGTTTTTGCCCAGTGTTCCCGTGACTCCCCAGTCCTCCACAAATTATCAGTGAATTGGCAGCTGGTGGCCCTGTACATAAGCTTTTCAGATTCTAAAATGCAAATAAGGCCCTGTAAATTTGAATGGTACTTATCTAGCCTATTTGAATTGTCACTGGTAAGGTTTTCCCCTAATTCAGCTTTTAGTTTCCCACCGCCCAATTTCTCTTCATTGTAAACTATTTTTTGTAAAGCTCTAGGTTTTGATAGGCACTCAGTATTTCTGTCTTGTTGCTTCCATTTGTCCTGAGTTTTCCCTCCTCTCTAATAAAGCTTTTTCCTTTGTTCTCTTCTTACTGTTATATATTCTTTAATTCTCTTTTACCTTATATCTTTTCTAGTTGGATTTCATTTCCTGATTCAGGTTTTCTGAGCTTACTTCTCCAAGGCATCAGCAGTTCTTAGTTTTAATTCTGGATGATCTAGCCTCAGTTTTACTTTGGTAATAGTTCCATTTGCATGTCAACAGCTTTGCAATTCTTTATTATCAAGATGTCCCTGAAAATATACATACATTATTCTAGTCTGTTCAAAGCAATGTAAAAATGCTTTGGATTAAATATTGTTAATTTTTATGCTGCAGATCTAGTTTTAAACAAGCATTGGAAGCCCTGCCTCAACTTTCAAGTGGAGCAGATAAAAAGTGAGTTTTCTATTTTGGTCTTGTTTTTAATAAAGCTGTCCTCAGGAGCCAAGACTTTTGAGTCTCATACTGGTTGTTATTACAGACAAATCCCACATTAGTGGTTTGAATTATGGTGGAACATTATATAATTGCCAAACGTTACTGACCCATTCTTTCTGTTGAAAGTAATATTACTATAAATAATTGCTGTGTTGTATGTCAAGTTGTCAATTGTCATTAAATATAAATGAAAAATTTCTAGAGTAGTTGCTAGCACAGTGCCTATCAGATAGTAGGCACTTAATACATGCTTATTGATTATGAGATTTTTAAAAATTATGTTTCATCTTAAATTTACATGAAGCATGTATCAGATGACAGAATATACAATAGAACTTTTCTCTTATGCTTGGGGGTAGGATTTTGAAATTAGCTATTTTCTTATTTTAAGTGACAGTACTGGGAAATCTATAAGCTTACACCATAAGACTATATTATCTGATTCTGTTTTTAAGAATATAACATCTAGATAAATGTGAAATGGAGCATCACAATGAAATATAAAGCTCTGTGAGTTTTGTCACTCTATGGGCAGATCATTAATTTAAATTATCTTTTACATTGAAAAGAAAAGAGCATTGGTTATTTTTAATTCATTCAAATGTCAACAGCATAGTCAAATGTAGGTAAGTGTCAGTATTAAAGACAGGTGGCAAATCATAGCATATTTTGTGCCCTCTAAAATAACTGCTTCTTTTCAGAAGCAGAATGCTGTCATATTTATCCTCCAAAAATATGTACTTAAGAAAAGTATAAGTAGAAAATAAGGTATTGAAGAAGAGCAGGCTTTTGCTCTTTTTGTGGTGATGTTTTAATCACCACAAAACTTCACAAATGTTGTTAAGATAAGATTAATTCTCTCAAGCTGAACTTGAACTCTCCTGACCCAGGAGAGAACCTAGAACAGCCGAATCTCTTGATTGTCCAGGTTACTTCCACAGCTAAAGCCACAGAAACACAAATGTTTGCTTCCTTATCACACCATAAAGGGTTTGCCTAAAGTTATACAGTTATTGACAGAAGTAGGACTGAAACCTCTCTCTCCTGGCACATAGTTTTTCTGTTCTAATTCATTTTGCTCCAACACATGTGTCTTCAGAAAGCAGAATGAACAAAATGGTAAAGCACTAGTTCTAGAAGGGAGCAATCTGGGAGCGATAGATTTGCCCCTATTGAATTGTTTTCATCTGCATTATTACTAAGCAGTCTGTAATGAACTTTTCATTTACCTTTCTGAAAAATAACACAAATGAAAGCAGTGCAGCTGGGTTTACTGAAATGTTTTCTTGTGCTATTAAGCAGCCTCACTCCTGTCCGATTTTGAAGCCTCTCTCCTCCCTTTTAGGTTACTGGAAGAGCTCCTGAACAAGTTTAAAAGCAGGATGCACTTGCAGCTCACCTGTTTCCAAGCTTCTCCCTCTCCTATGTTGAAAACATAGATACACATCAAAGAACAGTCAGGTGAAGGCCAAGGGGCAAGACCCTTCTCTTTAAAGGTTGTTCAGATACTCAGTGTTCAAGCATTTGGATGGTTGAGCTTTTTCCTGATTGCAGCTTAGTGACAACCTGGCATGTGTTAGCCTTTGAAACAAAAGGAATCTTTTGAAATGCCCAAGTAGTGTTTGCTTAGTCATCTCTATTGGTTTGGGTCCCATCAAAATGGTAAAAATACCTTTTCAAAATAGACTTTTTCTAGCCATGTGTTGGATAGAGAATGTTGGATGAATTCTCTTTTTAGTGAGCGTACTCTTTAAATGAAATGAACTGTATGTTTGCTATATATTTCTCAGTGTCTCCTTTACAAAACTTTAAGTAGCAGAACTTTCATAAGAAGAAAAGAAATTGGGCAGGTTACATTTAGACACTTAAAAAGATTCAATCGTCCTAAGCTACCCAGCTGCACTTGTAAGCTTTATTTCATACAGATGGCCCTACAACATAATTCAAGTATGTGTTAGCAGAGATTGTAGGCTGCATAAAAACTGTCACATTTTGAATATATTTCATATCATTGTCTGTAGTCCAAAATACCCATGAATATAATTAACATTTTGTTGTCTGGTTTTTCTTTTTCACAGTACGAAAGACTAACATCTCATCAGTGTCACTTTCTCATTCTGACTTTACTCCAAAATTGAATTATATGTGTGTACTTAGTTCCTGAAAACCTTAATTAATTAATAGCTAATTGAATCTCAGTGGCCAAGTACTTGGCACCTTATTACCTGTAGGGACTTCCTTGGTAACCTTTACTCTCTCTCTTCAGTGTTGTTTAAAATTGCCATCTTCCCAAGGAACACAGAAGAGCCCACATGGCAGAGGGCAAAAACTACTGCTACTGGCTGTCTTCTACTCGTGTTCTCTGTTCCTTTTTCCTCTGCAGTTCATTTCATTTTTTGCCACACCATTGATCCCTTGCACTGTCTCAGCCTCAGTGGCCAGATGAGTGCTGGCCTGGCACTCTGGGTTTCTGTGGATTCAAAGCAAATGCATCAGTTTCAGAATGGTAAGAGTTGTGGATAATCATTTGTTCCAGTTGTCCCACATTCTGTGCTGACTTAAGAGATTACAGGAAAAAGGTCACAGTGACCCAGAGAAGTGACAAACTAATTCTGAGTAAGCTCTGGCCTTTAGCCTTCCTCACTTCATGTGAAAACTCACTTCAGAATATTTCAGTAATCTTCTACTTGTAGTAATCCCAGTAGAAACTGCAGAAATTTTTTTTAAGTGCTAAACATTACCCATGTCTTTACTAGTACGAAGAGATTTAAAGCCCAGTTGCCCATATGTACATTGGTAATTATATGAAACAGGTAAATGTCATTGTATTTGTTCATTTAGTATTTGTGGGAAAACAGCTGTAATAACTAGAAGTAAAAGTTTGATCCTTTAGAAATGTGGCTTATAAGGTATATTAAGCAATTATAGGAAACATTTTCACTTTTCTCTGTATGTACCTACTGTGGCTATGAATTAAATTACAAAAATGCAATCCTAGATGTTTCTGGTATTTTAATAGACTGGCACAGTTCATTGAACCTATAAAGAAACTATCTTCAATATAAAGTGCATTTAATTTTTTCCTCCTGAATTTCTTTCTGCATGTGTAAAGTAAATCAAATAACTTTTGATAACTTTAACTCTGTATTCCTATGTATACTTTGCTAGAAGCCTACTTCAGTACCTCATCATGGCATAGAAGTAAATCTGGGTTCTTAAAGGTTATGCTGTTGGAGCAAGAGCTCTAGTGAATCCTGCTAACCCCCCAAAAAAGCTTCAGTACATCTTGAAACATGTGATCTCTTTTTGTCGTTCAAGGACCAGCCTAAGGGAAGTTCCAAGAGGATCATCACTAGTAGCCTGGTCATCAACTGCTGAAGTTTTTTTGACCATAGATATTTTAGAAATGATCTCTTCAGGAATGGAAGGCTCTACTCCTGCAGTCATGTAATAAACTATGGAATATGCCTACATGTTATAAATATTTAGGTTTTTTTAGGTAGGTATGGACACAGACCTGTCTCTTCATCGTCGGGTGCTGTATTGGTTGAGATGCGATATTGTGTAACTTAGCAATATATGTTCTGTGCCCTCCTGGGGCTGACAAACTGTCATACAGGAAATATTGAAGAGGCGGTGGTCTAGAGGCAATCAGATAACCTTGAACTAAGAGCACTGGACTTGGACTTGAAATCAGAAGACCTGGGTTTAAATTCTGATTCTGTTACTCGCTCATGTGACCATGAGCGAGTCTCCCTGTCTCTTCTTTGTTAGGTATCCTGAAGGCTCTATGCTGTATCCACTTTTCTCTGCTAACTCTCATCCTGGGTGATCTCATCTATTCCCATGAGTTCAGCTGTCACAAATGTGCAGATGACTCCCAAATCTATATATCCTAAACTCCATTTAGGCATCTCTAACTGCTAACCTCTGTCTGACTGTTCTTTCAAGTATCAATGTGTCCAAAACGGAACTTCTTATCTTCTCCCCTCAACCCATTCCTCTTCCCTACTTCCCTTATTCCTGTTGATTACACCATCTTCCCAGTCATCTAGGTTCAAAACCACAGATATCTCTGACTCTTCCTTCTCCCTCATCCCCCACATCTAATCAGTTGTTAAGTCCCTATGAATCTAGCTCTGCAGTGTCTCTCTCATCAGTCTCCCTCTCTTCACTCACACCGCTACTACCATAATTCAGGCTCTCATCATTTCTCTGCTAGACAGTTATCCAGTGTGTTGTACCTTCTAGTTTCACATCATTTGCAAATTTGATAAACTTTCCATGTCCCTCTTCCATGTCACTGATAAAAGTGCTAAAAGCCACAGATCTTTGTGACACTCTATTAGAGGTCTCCCTTCAATTTGACATCAACTTAGTAATGACTGTTCTTTGGAGCTGATCATTCAATTAGTTTCAAATCCACCTGTTGTCCTCCTCCGGCCAATGTTTCTCTATCTTGTCCACAAAAACATCATGAGATTATCAAATGTTTTACTGGTAGGTAGGTAAGTTGTAGATGGTATTATGCTATTCTGTGTGTGTATGTGTGCATGTCAGATTTCCTTTCCTGCCTACTTGCAACATGTACCACATAATCAAATAGAATGTAAAGAAATCTTAATTCTCAGCTGAGGGAGGCCAGATTGTAGTTGCCTGAAGTCTCTCTAGTCAGAGCTAAAAATAGACTTTTTCTCGTACTATCAGAGTTTTCACCATGAGGCGTACCTCACCAGGACTTTTGACTGTGTTTAACTCAATGTTTTTGAATGATTTATATACCAAAAAGAATATGCCAGCATTGTTTAAAAAAAAAAAGAAAACATGAAGAACATGGTGCTGATCATTATAGAAAATGCCACATTTCCTGCCTTCCAGAAGTTTCCATTAACTCACAAGTGACAGATGGGGGGAGACTGGACCTGTGATGTCATTGGTATAGAGAACTCCTAAATGAGAAATTCCCTCTACCAGTACAAATTAGCACCCATTCTGCAACTTATCCTCAGAGAGTTCAGACTTTTCTTACTTATTAACAGCGCGATTGTAATAACTAATTGGTCTCTTCTCTTCTCCCGCCCTTTGATCCATCCTACATGCAGTGGCCAGATTATCAAACAAGGTTTCACAAGAGAAGCACTGCAAAGGGTATCAGCAGAAAGATTATGACCAGAATGTATGAGGGTGGAGTCATGCACTCAAAAGCCTCCATTTAAGGAAGGAGCTTAGCTCAAAATATCTCATTTCTCACCGGGCTATGAGGACTTTTCTGACTTTTCCACCATGTCCCCATGTCTGGTTCCTTCCTTGGCATACATACCCCTTCCCTTTTCAGCTTCTTTTTGTGTGTTGTCTCCCCTACTAGATTCTAAGCTCCTTGAGGGCAGGGACTATATTTTATTTCTGTTTGTATCTACAGTGCTTTTCACATAGTAGGTGCTCATTAAATGTTTATTGACTTCCTGACTGACAATTGTTCTGGAGTAGGATGGCCTTCAGTTTCCGGAAAAACCTGATGAAAATGCAGCATGTACTCTACCCATAGAAGACCCCAGAAAGTCCATCAGACATCACATATTCAAGGAGAAGTCTAAATGTAGACATTTTTGGCCAAGCTGTATACACCATGCGGTACCTCCAAGTACACCTGTTTCTGGCATACAGTCTGGTACCTCCTTTTCTGGGCTCCCTCTGCACCTTCTTTCTTTGACTCTCTTCCAACTTTTTCACTTCTGTTTCTCTTTCTAAGTTCATCTCCTAGCCCATGTCTCCATATAACTTCTCCACTGCCTCTACCCTTTTCCAGTGTCATCATCCTGTCCAAAGCCCCACATTGAAACTCTCTCGTAGTGGTACCCCATTCTCCAAAATATGTCTTGTTCCTCCTTGCTTAAATGCCACCTTCCCATTCAAAGAATCTCAGCTAAATGTTAGGAAAGCAAACTGAGAAAATTAATTCACACTAATGTGTGAGCAACTGATTTCAAGGCTTCCTAGAGTGTTATTTCCTCAAAACTCTGTTTACTTCTTTAAGTAAGGTAAGCCCTAGTACTTGTAAAAGAGAGAGTTGGTGATCCCACCTAGCCTATCTTCCTGCCCTCAGGGTTGCCTTATTGTTTCTTACCTGAGTAGAGAAAGCCGATTGTTTTCATATCCCTACTTCTCCCCCCAGCTTCCAGTTGGGAGAGAGGTTTCTCTATCCAGTATGTAGTCAATGAAGGTCAACTTCCAATTCAGAAGGAAAGGGGCTGCCCTGTCCTAATCACTTCACTAATCCCACTCTGTCCTGTCCACCAACACCTTGGATAAGACCATTTGTCAAATGGTTTCCAGAATCCCCTGGGCCTATGGGCACCCCCTGCACTCACAGATTGGGTTCTCAAATATGTCTCAATTTATGGATTTGGAGGAGTGTCAGGTAGGTTCCTGCTGTGCCATATCCCGCCCACCCCAACCCAGGTTATCCTAGAAATGCTTATCTCAACTCTATGAAAATAGTTGCCTTACGTAGTTTTTTGTGAACTATTTCACATATAACCACAGAGCATAATAGAAAGAGCTGGTCTTGAAAAGAGTTCAAGTCCTGCCTTTGACACATATTGGTGTGTGATATTGGGCAAAAGCCTCAACCTCTTAGTGCTATAAGGCCTGTGGTTATCAAACTCAAATAGAAATAGATCCCTGCCTGGCACATATTGACTTAGAAAACTATAAATTAACATTATCTATGTTTTATTGTATTTTTATTTATTTTGTTAAGCATTCCCAATTACATTTTACTCTGGTTGGGGCAGCACTCTGTTGTTTGGCTGGCTGCAGAGACCTTCAATGTGTTTTAACACCTCTGCTCTAGGCTACTGTCTAAGATGTGGAGATGGTGCTGCCCTACGTTAGTAGTTTCTCACCTGGGAGCTCCATAAGCCAATTAAATCACAGGCCCAGTCTCTATTCCTATGTGAATTGTCTACCATTTGTGCCCAGTTACTACAGTACAATAACAGTTCTTTAATACTTTGAGGGGTCTGTGATTCACCAGTGCAGCTTATAATCTAGCCACACTTTCTTATCCAGTGTAGCTCTACTCAGTGACCTTCCAAGTCTTCTTGGGTACTAGATCTACCCAGAACATTGGAGGGCTTCTCTGGTTCTTTTAATGTTTCATGTAATATGAAATAGTACAATACTCAAGCTGTCCAGTAGCTATCCCTCACTTTTGCTATATGACATAGCCACCAGTGATTTTCAGTCTTTCATGTCCTCGATTAGTATTTTATGCTACTTGTCATAGACTAGTCATTGTTGGTAATATGCCCACTCACACCTGTTCTACCTCTTTCCATTAAATCCTTTTGTGTGACCTGCCATTTTGATTCTTCTGAGATGATCTTCCATGTTTCACAACTGTACAACCTCAGTCTGCAAACATTTGATCTTGCCAAGTGGAGAGATGAGGCAACCAATGGCAACAGCAGTAAAGAATACAAGTCCATTTGCAGAACATTATTAAAAAAATAAAAGAACATTATGGAAGATGGCAGATTACTAAATGTGGTCCCCAAAATAGCAATCATACATACCATTTGATGTGTTAAATTAACTTTGTTGTGTTACTTCATCCTACTAGTACTTTCTGTTCATATATGTTCAATCTTTATTGGTCTCCTGGCATAGTTATAACTCCCACCTTTTTTTTTTAATTTAAAAGTACATTGGTTATATAAGTCTATAGGCTGCTTCTTCTGACTACTGTCTGCAAAAAGCATAAAAGGATGAAATCAGCCTTATTTTTAGTAGGACCTCTTTGTTGATGGCTACAATTCTTTTAGCCTTTCCCTCTACAATTAGAGATAAGGCTTAGAAGATCGTTGTATTTAAGGCATGTGTAATATGTTGAATGAAGTATATTCACATGAAGCATGATCAACAAGTACAAATGACTGATGGTAGAATTTTTCCTGTTTTCGTGGAGGGAAGAATTAGAAAATAGAAAGTTGCTAGACTAGCAAGGGGGAATAGAGAAATCATTTGAAAGACAATGTCACAGTTATCATCAGGGTACTTGGACAAAGCACAGCTTAGTG